TTCAAGACTTTGATGCATCATACAAGTGACAGTTACTAGTGTTCTCCAGGTTGCCCTCCTCTGGGTCCAGTCTGAAGTGGGTCAGCCTCCTGTGTAAAGTGTGGTGCCCAGTACTAAGCAGGTACCCAGATGTCTCTGGAGGAGACAACAGGATTGCTCCTGAACTCATTGATAAGTTGGAGGAGAGAAGGGATTGCCCTATTGCCCCCCCATCCCTAGAGGAGAATCCAGGATTCTTGGACTCTCATACCTGATGGTCTGCTATCTCTTCTCCTTCATCTGAAATTTCACCCAACTGGTATCCCTCCCTACCCCTGCCACTATCACAGGCTCCGCCTTCTTCCAGGTAGCATTTTGTGCCTGTGTCCTACCTTCCCCCATCACCACTTGAGCTGCCATCACAATGCTTCCACTTTTAGTGGGTTTCCATGTACAGTTAAAAGGCATTTCAAAACTGGATAGTTCCCCCTTGAGGACTAGGCAAGGGTTGTGTGCATGGCAGTGCCAGTCCCACAGCACAAGGGATGGGCTTGAGAACCCTTAGGATCCCCCTAAGCAATGAGAGACATACACTGTTACCCCTTGGCTATAGATGTACTCATGTTCGTCCCCATCACACAAACACACACACACAGCATCCTGAGAAAACGTGCCCTCCTCTCCCCCCTCAGGTCAACCACAGTTTGTCAGTCTAAGGAACTGAAAAGCATCTGAAAAGGGCTAGTTTTACCTGAAAAGAGCCGAGTACCAACAAGTCTATTCCCTGAGGGGATTCAGGAAAAAATGGGATGAGGGAAGATACAGTCCCCAAAATTAATTCCCCCTCAGAAAGAACCAAATTCTCCAATTTTATCTTCTAGGTGATAAAAATATTTGTTTTCTCTCCATACTCCTCCAATTACAAAAAAAATGTAGCAGACCCATCTTGGCTGGGGAGAAGAAGTATCTCCCCCTTCCCCCACTCTGAAGACAAGCATCTGTGCAAGTTGAGGGAATGAGCACTCTTTTACCCTGCCCCCTACATAGCATTCCAAAGTGAACTTTCCAAAGAGGATGTGAACTGTCAGAAGAGACCAGACCTTGGAAGATTTCACAACTATGTCGGATTTCATCCCTGCTTTCCCAAAAATCTCCTGTGAAAGAGCTCTTCTAAAATACCTAATTTGGGCCTCACTGAGAGCCAAAATTCCAGGCCACAGCTAGAGTGAGGAATAAAAATTAAAAAGTAAACTTCAGAAGTAGAACTCCAGAACAAAGTAAAGTTATATAATCCTGTAAGAAGAAGTTTTCCTCAAGAACAAGTATCTTCCACCCTCAGGCAGTCAATATGTAGTAATCTATCCCTTTTGGGAAAATCTTAGAAGAAAAATTCTCTACAAGAGTACATTCCCTTGTGCCTCATAGTATTCATTTCTGGTTATGCAGCGGGAACTGAAGGTTGACAAGCGAGACAATATGGCGCCCCCAACCCAAGGGAGGTAGATCCGATTTGGCCTGGACACAACCTCAGTTGAGTACATCAAAGGTTTCATGGTATTTAACTCCCAGATAAGGCGTTCTGAAAAGCCAGGAAAGAGGGTGCTGCCCCCTGAGAGAACCACACGAGAAAATATGTACTCTTTGTCATTGTTAGGACATGACATGGCTGTTTTGAGAACCTCAAGGCCTAATTTTACTCCAGGCACACCAAACTGGGAGGGATTGAAGAGGATATCGGGAAAGGTACAGTGTTTTTCAGTAAGAGAGACAACCGTTCCATCAGGAAGGACAGAGACCCTCCCTTTCATAGAGGCAAAGTTATGAGGAAGTTCCTTCTGATCATGGATTTTGCTCACATAGCATAACTTCTCTTTAAGGCTTTCCATTGCCTCCCTCTGAATCAAGTCATTCACTCTCATATCCCTATAGAACAGTTGTTTATATAATATGGCGCTGATATCTAGCCCACCAATCTCATGGACTGTCACGCACTTAGGGATAATGTGGCCTCCTAAGATGGGTGCAATGGAGGTGAGGCCAGCCCCACAGTCTAGTACCATACCAGTCAAGAGGCCAGAGCCAAACAAAGCAAGTTCTGCCTGGTTGCCAAAGTGCAGAGATCGAACATTGAAGGTCTCCATCATGACCTAGGGAAGAGAATAGGAAAGGGAAGGAAAGGAAGGAAAAAAAATATCATCGGTCTTTCCAGAAAGGGCTGAGTATATCACTAGAGTCTATGCCATAAGATAGGGTCTGAGGTCTCAGTACCCTGCCAAAAGTGCCATAAGGCAAGATGCCACCATGGATGACTTGGGCGGAGGGGGGAATTTCATGTTGAGCGACTCCAACCCATCTTCCTAGAATGATTTCATGATACACCCTTCCCACCCCTTACTCTGTGTTCTAGCCAAAGTGATCCATTCAATGTTCCCTGTCCATGGTTTTCATTCCATCTTCTGCCTCCTTGCATCACAAGGGCTGTCTCCTCCCCCCAAGCCTGGGTCCTCTTCTCCTCTCCCCTCTAGGAATAGGTTCAGCTCAAGTACTTCCTTTTAATAAGAGACCATTGCCCATCCTTCTACTTCTCAGCCCTTGCTCCAGCCCTGCTCTCCCCCTACTCCATATCAAGAAATTACTTATAGGGGCAGCTAGGTGGTGCAGTGGATAGAGCACTGGCCCTGGAGTCAGGAGGACCTGAGTTCAAGACTGGCCTCAGACACATGACACTTACTAGCTGTGTGACCCTGGGAAAGTCACTTAACCCCTTGCCTCACCAAAAAGTAAAAAAAAAAAAGTTGTAATCATTTTGTGTATATTTTTACTTTTTCTATACATACATATGTATGCATATACATACATGCATACATATATACATATATATACATGTGTGTGCATGTGTGTATGCATGTGTGTGTATTGTTTCTACCCCAGGATGATATAAGCTCTTCAAGGGCAGAAACTGACTTCTGTTGCTATGTCCCTATCACATAGCACAGTGCCTGGCATATAGTAGGTGCTTAATTCATGCTTGTTGAATTGAATTAAAGAGACCTGGACTGAGAGAACTTATATTCAATTCCAAGCTATACCACTTACTAACTTTGACACGTGGACAGTTTCTTCATCTCTAAAATGGGAATTAAACCCTAGCCCAAACTACCTCACAGGCTTGTTGCTTGCAAAGCACTCTCCTTACCTTGATTGCTATAGGATCATAGAATTAAGGTTTAGAAGTGGGGGGGGGGAGGGACACATTAGAGGCCATCTAACCTAACCCCCTCATTTAAGGATAAGGAAATTGAAGGGTAGAAAAAAGTCAACTAACTTTCCCCAGGTCACACAGTTTACAAGTCACAGATCATAGATGGGAACCCATGTCCTCTGCCTAAAATCCTGGCTAACTGCCTAACCTTAGACAAGTCATTTAACTTCTAGGGAATGGGCTGAAGGCACCCAAATGTTCCAACCTAAGTCATAAATGAGTTGGGATCCACATTGGAGGTGGAGCAAGTTCCCACACTGACAAAATCCCAGACACTTCTTGTATTCAGGGAACCAGAAAAGTGAAAAAAGACAAGGGGTGGGGAAGAGCTCAATTAGTCTGATTTCCTCATTGTTCAGAGGATAAGGCAAAACCAGAGGAGAGAACTGATCCTTTCCATCACCCAAGATGGCATCCTATATCATCCTTCCGTTCCTCCAATGCCCAAAACCTATACCACTCACTCTCTCCCAAGAATCTTTGCTGGGACATCTTCCTCTCCTTCTCCCTTCCTCCTCTCACAGGTACTCTCACCCTCAATTCCCTTATGGCCCTTTCTCCAGATCTGCCTTTGCATTTCTTATTCTTCCTTGTATCATAGCTATTTGTGTAGGGTCTTTTCTCCCTTTACATTGTAAGCTCCTTGAGGGCAGGACCTGGTTGTCTCTATGGTAGTATCCACAGTGTTGGACCTGGGACAGACTCTTCATGTTTTCTGGATAACAGAAATGATGACACTAGAAAGGGCCTTAGACTCTAGAATTTCAAAGAAACAATCTCAGACCCAAAACTATGATAAGGGAACATGCCTACTTCCTTCCAAAGTGAGAGACAAGGGATATGGTATATGGTTTTCTCAAATGTTTTTCATTGCCAAAAGGTAGGGTTTACAACAAACTCTTACCTCCAGAATCTTCTGCTGGTAATTCCTATTTTTCTGTGACAATTCTGTGACAAGCACCGAGTGGTCCTTGGTATTGACCTGTAGGCAATCAAAAGTATACTGCCAAATAGCCTCCATGGCCTCCCAATTTAGGATTTGGCCTCGGTTAACAGGAAATTCTGTAATAGGCAGTTCCTTGAGCACATGCATGTTTTCCAATCCTGTAACTTTCATTATCTTGGGAGCACTTCCTTTCAAGTCCTCATCGTAGGGCTGATACCCAACAACTGTGGGGATTGAAAGAGTAGGGTAGTTTTTCCCAGCCAAGCCAGCTTTGCACCAGGCACTGCCAATGTCAATGACCACAGAAGATGATTCCATCAGGAGGATGAAGATGGAGCCAATTGGGGAAGAAGAGAATGTCTCTGGGGAAGGACAGAATGGATACAACCTGGAGCTTTGAAGGATGACAAACAGAAGAGAAGAATCTGAACTCTTGGCAGTAAGGAACCACTTGGAGCTTAGGAAAACATAACTGAAAGTGGAAGGAAAAGAGGAGGGGATCCCTCCCCACACATCATCCAAGGATACCTTTAGTCGTTTTACACAGAACCTGGACACTGATTTTGATTTCAGAGAACTTGGTGTCAAGTCTGTCTCTGCCACTTCTAAGTATGACCTTGACCCATTTCTTCCTCTAACAAATGTGGGGAGGGGTGTCAGATCAGATGAGCTAAGGACCCTGATATCTTATGCTTTTCCTTTAGAAAATCACCAGCTTAGGTAGATATATCCCCATGTCACCTGCCTGCTCAACAGTTCTACTAGTAATGACAGGTCTGTTTTACATGGAAGGGAATTGATAATGAAGTACATGTTTGCCAAAGTTATAGATGCCAGTATCCTCTGGAATTGAGCCCAATCAGGGAAAAGAAAATGCCAGTGAAAAGAACTTTTGACTGGAGACAGGAGAAGAGGAGAAATATCAGCATAGACATCATATAAGACATATGGGTTCCTTCAAGACACTGCCTTCTAGTGTCAATAGATGTATACAGGAAGCAGGTCTATCGGAAGGTTTATACTTTGTGGCAGTTGCCTACTTTTATATTATTTTGGTTTCCAGGAAATTAACTCTAACCAAGTAACCCATTCAACAGCAATGATTGAAAGTGCTTCAACATCTGCAATGACAAGTAATGGCTCCCAGATGATAATTGATTAGTTTAAATAACAATGCTTCTTATTAGTTTCCTACAATAACAAGTCTCTCAG